GACTAAATCTGGGTAGAGATACCAATTTGATAAGCAACATCTAAAATGTAAACGTAAATAAGCAGCTACAAATACAGAACCAGAGTGTATATAGTTGCATAGTAACTACCACTGTATCGTGCAACGGTACTTACTTTTCTTGGCGGCATCGACAGCCATAGTAAGGACTATGAGCCCAAGCACTACAACGTAAAGTCTCATCTATAAAACAATAACTGTGTAGAAGTCATTTCGTTTTCACATAGAAGTTAGTCATTTAATTATAATATAATTTTATTGAATATGAATATGCCTAGTTATATATATATATGTGTATATATATACATATATACATATATATATATATATATATATAATTATATAATATAATAAAAAGGCAGTACACCTCTAAGGAAATACGAGAATATCCTAAAATAGTAGAATAACGCTTTAAGATGAAAAGATTTTCTACTTGCACAACTGACTTCAAGCCTAGTGCACGTTCCGGGCAGCGGAAGCAAACGTACACTGTAAAGACAGCGTGGAGGATTTAAACACAAAGCTCCACGCAATGTCCTGTTTTTATTGACACGTTTAAAATCTAAAGTTATAATTCATGATTCATAATTTTATTTCATTCAAAAGGTAATGAGTTCTTGTAGGCTAAAAAGGGAACATGTCCCTGTACAAGATGCCTACCAGGGAGGTATTTAGACATAAATTAATGTGCTTAGGATTTTGACGTGTTTTGTTTAATTAAATTTGCTTAGATATTTGACATAATGATGTTAAATACCTAAGCACTTTTAATGCTTAAGACGTCAGAACCCTACAGGCATAAGGTCAGACCTAAACACGTTTAGTAATTAAACATGTCACCAAAGACAGGACAGCATTAGGTGCAGCTTTGCGTTTAAATCTTTCACGCCGTTTTGACAGTGTACGGTACATTATTAGACCATAGTTCTTTCATATTAAAACACACAAAATTAGCAATTAGTGTTGAATTGGCATGCCAATAGATTAATCTTGAATCTTGAATTTCGTACGAGCGGTAGGGTGATTCAAACACTGATTCAAGATATAAGTAAATCTCATCTAACGATCGCCGGCCGACTCGATTCCATGGAGAACGCATCACTACGACGCGCACGTAACTGATCCGTTTAGACTGCCATCGTCGCGTCGTTTAACACTCACAGGTTGCGGAGTTTTCTCTCTTTCGTGGGGTTAAACCCCATTTATTTCAGTCTTTTTTCTCATTCTTTTTTACATTTTATATTAAGTAATTATGTCACCAATTACATCTCTTTTGTTTTTCTTTTTAGTCCCTAACCAAAGGCCCTCTAAGCGGAGTTGGATTATTCGTACGACGGTCGTACGATGCACTGAGTGACCTGCTTAACATTTTAATCTTAACATTGCTATGTTTGTACAATCTGACACGAGTTAACATATTTAAAATCATTCCTAATGATTAAAGGCAGTGCCTAATTGGTGGCCTTATCAATCTGCCTGTGAGGTGATGAGCCGTATGCTGTCATCTGGCGTAACTCCTTGTGTTCTAATTGTGAACACAAATTAAACTCAATATATTCAGATGAGTCTATGAATGATTACTAATACATGTAATGTGGCAACCACTAAAAATTGCCAAAACCAACACCGAAGAGTCAATAATTCTGTGACGTCGTATTTAGGGAGTAATTCGGTGTATAAAGTAGTATAAAAAATAAATCAAAAATCACAAAAAAAAAAAAAAAATAGTCGAGCCAAGCCAGATAAACACAATATTTCTGTTCTTTTATAGGCCTTAGGAGAATCAATTTGTATTTTTGCGATTTGATTGTTCCGGTCGTGGAACAAGTCTTTCCGGATAAGGACTGCCCAGTGTACCGTACGCATTTGGCTCGTGTGCACTTTACAGTACCCAGTACATCCCCTTCAAGAAGAGTAGGGGGTTACCCCGGTGTACTGGTCCATTTAATGATCCCCTGTCGTTTAATGGCTATGTCACGTAGGATAGTGATTAAGTTCACTTATTGGCATATTCTTTGCGCTCGTGCCTAAAGAAATGAAATGAAAAAATTGGATATTGTTCCTTTGGTTCCAATTGCTGCCCTTGCTTTTCAGATAAACCGTGGAAATACTTTTAGGTCTCTGATCTAATTTCAATCACTGCTAAATTATAAATCGGGTACCATTTTCGTGGGACGTTAAAGAGCGCAGCAAACACTTTGTAAAGAATAGAGAATTGTCTCTCGTATAGGCCTATGTCCAGTCCTGACCCACCAAATGCAATTCTTGATCGGGATGGGTGAAGTGAAGAAGGCATACAATCCCAAGCAAGCTCTGATATATAACTGTCTCTTATACTATATATATATATATATATATATATATATATATATACATATATATATATATATATATATATACAAAATAGGCAATCAATACTTACTGTTTCCAGTGCAAAATGAAGATCCAGAGATCAAGGCAGATAAGAGAATAGTAAGTAGATATAGAGGAAATCGGCCCTTTTTATTCAGAATTATTGTCCTTCAAATTCAGCAAGAGAGAATGAATAATGCTGCCCTGGATAACCCACTCAATGCCCATATAAGACTTGAAATTTTCCGTGACGGGGATCAACCCCTCACCCATAACAGCAATAACAGCTTTATTAGTCATGTTCTCTTTTATTGAATATTTTGCACATAACTCTACATTTTGTGTGGAAATTTAATCTTTTATAATTATTATTGATTGCAATATATTATAGGGTTTTTTTTTGTTATTTTCCTAACTCTCAGTTGATTCATTTCGAAAGTATATTTCAACCGAGTCATATGCCTACTAATAGTATTATATCTATAAGATATTAATCATACACACCACAATGGCCTATTGTAATTCCCTCAATCACACAGTCTATAAGTATCAAAAGCCGATAAAATTGAATATTTTTAGAGACACATTTTAACACGAAAACAAATACATAATTTGAATCTGAAAATATGAATGTTCTCACAATGTATATTTTTCTTGACAGAGTTATATAAAAATAACTTTGTGTTTAATAAGCCTATTCTCTAACCTCACATATGGTATAGAAATTCACTATTTTTATTAAACCAATGGGTAATAATAGGCATACTATTATTCGAATAAACGTTCCGGGCGTTTATTACCCCTGGGAGTTTATTGTTGATAAGGGAGGTGTAAAATGGAGTAAAATGGATACGTATGTACTCAAATAAACGCCACTTAATTTCACTGTAAGTGTGAAACTACCAGGCCCGTAGCCAGGGGGGGTTTTTGGGGTTCGGGCGAACCCCCCCTTTTCAGCGAACCCCCCTTTTGCCAGCGAACCCTCTTAACCAGAAAACGATCCCCCGTTTCCAAAATAGTGCAATTTATTACAAAATAGGAGCATTTTGGCACTGTTTATTTGTCGCTATCGTTCGTAGTCCGATCGTAGAAATCAAAACAACCTGCAGCCATCAAAACAAAGCTGCAGCCAGCTGAATGACGTAACCAGCAAGACTTCAAAATGAATATTAATGAGAGGTTTGTTGCCTAAGCTATTTGACCAATCGCGTGCTCCGTAGTTTATTTACTTTGGCACGACGTCATCACAAAAGTTTGGGAGCTCGACATTTTTCATTTCTCTGGGATCGAGGACATGCGACACGCCAAAAATAGCCTAGGAAGAGGATGAAGCGCCGAGAAAGGATAACCGATTTTTTTGCTTCAAGGCCAGCAACGAAGAAATCACGGAATTTAAGAAGTTAGAAAATTCACCCTTGTTTTCACCACATGCTCATTATGATACTGCCTGGCGGCGGGATCGGTGTACTTTTTCGGGCTAGGCCTAGGCCCTAGGTCTAGCGTTGCTAGGTAGGGTAGGGTCGTAGCCTATGAGGCCTATATTGCGAACGATTTTATTATTTATTTTGTAATCGAGCTAGCATAGGCCAGGGCCTAGGCTAGCAAGGAAATACACTTGGTAATGTTTTCACGTTTCGTCAGAATTAACTGACATTATTCATAATAATATATTTATTATTTTTTCTCAATATATCATAATGTGCAAGGTCTGTGTTTTGAACAGTCACCTAGTGGTGGGTATTGCTAATTTTATCCCAGTTATATTTTTAGAGATAAAATGACATAGTAGCATTAAAATGTTAAGCATTGCTTTTTAATTAAAAAAAAAAAGTTTGTTTCACAATAAACATTTACGTTCTAAATCCTGTATTGGAAAAAGTAGTCTTCGTATCTTATTTTTAAAATTGTGTAAGAAGTATTTAAATATACATGAACATGCATTTAAATGACATGTACATGCCTTTAAAATCGTATAAATGCTCTGGCTTCGGGGGCTTCGCCCCCAGCCCCCACAGGGGCTTAGCCCCTCCCCCTTAACCCCACCTGGGGCCCTTTGGCGGGCCTCTGGACCCCACGCCCAGAACCCCCCCTTGAAGCATGCTGGCTACGGGCCTGTGAGATAACCGTGACATCAATTGAATTGACAATGTCCAGTGTAACAATTAATAAACAATGTTTATCTTGGTATGTGTGGCATGATGTATGGTTTATAACAATTTACTTTAAAGACCCATGTTTAAAATAAAAAATAGTTACCATTGGTGTATGCAATATTAATGTCAAATTGTTTAATTATTGCATTCATCACTTTATATTGCCATATTATGACTGCAGAAATGCCACATTTAAACCCTGTCACATTACCTTGAAGGAGTTGAGTAGCAAAGCTGAAATTTTGTGTACATATTACTATGATACCTATCTTCGACAGGTTAGAGTTTCAAAAATTATTTCAACTGATCGCCGGGTCATCCAGGGTCACGAACGTCGAGCCATTTAAAGGATTTTTCTGGCTGGGGCCCATTTTGGGACTCTGTATTTTCTGATTTAAAGCTTTAATGGGATTGTTATTACTTCTGGATGTAGTCCTGTGACCATAGATTATATTCAAGTAGAATGGAGCCCATGTTACCCCTAGTTTTCATTCAGGGTGACCCCAAAACTTGAAAAAAAAACTTAATCGCTCATTCTGGACCCTACTTTAGGCAATCATAACTTGAAATCTGAAGATGATACTTTAAATCTGAGTGCAGATTCATAAAATTTGGCAAAAAGTAAGTCAGAATACCAACTTTGAACTCTTTGTCTTGTCCGTAGGCCGAAATATGGCATTCTGAAATCCGAAATTATTCAAAATGTCACTTTTCGCGATTCGCGAGTGCGTAAAAAGTCCAGCAAATTTCAAACGGCCATATCTCAAAAACGACATGGAGTATGACTTTCAAATTTTGCATGTGTTCATATGAACAACATATCATCATTCTGACCAAATTTCATTAAAATCTGAGGGGGTCACCTGGGGACCTCTGGTTGATTTGACATGGAATGACCCGATTGCAATTGTCCTTCGGAGTTAAACAGACCACATGAGATTCGAAATAGATGATGTAGTTTGTATATTAGCCTATCAAGATTATTATTGTACGTATTCAGAGGTAAACAAAGTCCTCTTATCAACCAGACGCTTGTTTGTAAGATGATTATGTATCAGTATGGCAACTTGTAGGCCTACATATTGTGAACTTTCGTGAGTTGTAGTTTGTGTATGGGGTAGGCATAATCGGTCACATCATTGAGGCCTAAATGACCGTGACCTTCGGTTCTATAAATAGAGCATACACTGCGGCTGCGGTGAATTTTCTTGCAATATTAAAGTTTCTCTCTCCCTACTGATTTCCTTTTTGAACTACTTAATAGCAATGTCCCAAACAACGCCTGGTGAATTTTGGTCAATTGAATGTCGTTCACAAAGCTGGGTACCGTATCATAATAATAAAACCAACTCAATATTAGTGATGTATTGACGTATCCTACTTGTACACCTTAATTTTAGCGTTTTATAGATACGAACATTTGGAGATCGGATTCAACACCGAGTCACCAAACGCAAGCTCGGTGGTCTAGTGTATATAACACCAGACAAGTTACCTGGAGGTTGTGGGTTTGATTCCCACTCGAATCACTTGCGAGTTTTTTTTCCGCATGTATTGATTGAACGTAGGCCTACTGGGTACTATTCGGTACGAAACACGTCAGGTATACGGCAAAACATTACTCCTATGATATGATATTTTCCTGACACAGACATTGATATTTATACATCTATTACAGCATTTCAATCAGGCATATGCGCTCTATATATACCCTGAACGATTACTTTAAACAATATCGATCAACATAGTCCATGGAGAAATATTAATGTTAGTACTATTAGTAATTACAGGTATTTCTTCATTGCATAAATATATTTCGCGATAAATATAAACAAGATATAGGCTTAGTCAGGCATTGATTGGAACATTTTCCTCATTCACATGCACTGGCTATTATTTGAGATAACTAAAATAATATAACACCGGACTCTTATTAAATATAAGCCCTAAACTACTATTGAATAAGTAATAGACATTGTTATATATAAGACCTGTAATTGTAATTAATTGTTGCCTACTAGAAATGTAAAACAATACGCTGGACCAAGAAGCATGCCAATTCTCTCATGATTTTTTTTTAACGCCAGGGATCAATTGAAAAAGTGAAAGCCAGTGCGGAATTTAAGGCGATGAAACCATCCATAACTGTGGAATAAAAAATTAATGATTTTAGTCTACAACATTGATTATATGGATTATGTCCTAAAATTATTTTTAACGAAATTCTGACGTCTGGGACGAATTACTTTACTGGAACACCTATGGCTTCGAAGCGTTCTGTTTCAGCCACGGGTGCACAAATATGCTTGCTCGAATCACAGACAGACACTGTAGGCCTACTTACCGACTGATTTGTAGGTTTTGGTTAACTGCTGCTTCCGAAATACCGTATTGAAAATAATCCGGTACCAGTTAGAACCGTTAGAAATCACAATAATTGCGAAGCAGGCGACAATATAACTAAAGTGGTTTCAACTTTTTTAACGTAATCCAAAAGGTGCCCGCCAAAATTGAAGAGTGTGACACCGATCCTACCGTCACAAAATTCAAGATCATTAACTTGTGAGTTAGCGCCCTTAGTGGTCGAATTGGATGATAAGTGAAGTTAAGTAATTGGCATTTCATATTTCTGACACAAGAGGGGGTTATAATGTGGAAGTTTATTACCCCCGCCCTATGACCAAAACGTTTGGATTATGGTATCAATTTTATCAGTCGTCAGTTAGATCGTCTGATTCACAGCATCATCTACCACACACATGACGAGGTATGAACATAGGTCATCTATGATTATACACTCATTTGAAATACCCCGTCCCGTCTGTGTTGATTTAAGCTTTAAACTGTTAAATTAATATTGTGTAAAAGTAACCTATGTGTAGAACAACATATTCACACATGAGTTACTGAAATTAAAATAATTATAGAACAAAACAATATTTTTCTCGCCATTACACTATTTAAAAAAGAACCAGTAAAATTTAATCGAGGCTCAGTGTTATTGTTTTT